CTTGCCAGGGATCAGGGCACATCCCTGCCAGCACCGGCAACGCCTCCGCCACACGTGACCCGGGCTAGACTATTCCCAGCCAGGCACTGCCCCAGGCACAGTCCTGCCGCAGGATCCAGCCAGGCCTGAGGTGGCAGCAGCCGGCAGGTAGGACATCCAGGACCACAGGGACCCTCTGTCAGCCATGGGAACGGATGACGTGGTCAGGGAGGAGCTGGGCAGCCTCCATGGCATGCCCCTCTACAAGTGCTTCATTGAAGGCTGGCCAGAGGTGGAGGCTTTCCAAGCCCGGCCAGATGACCTGCTCATTGCCACCTACCCCAAATCGGGTGAGTTACCCTCGGGAAGGGTGCAGGGGGGTATGGGGTGATGCCAGCCCTTGCAAACACTGTACCTGTGCTGCAGGCACAACATGGCTGAGTGAGATCCTGGACATGATCTACCAGGATGGAGATGTGCAGAAATGCCGGCGAGATGCCATCTTCAACCGGGTGCCTTTCCTGGAATTGAAGGCACCCAAGATACCGAGCGGTGAGGCCCCTGGTCTGGCTACTCCCCTGGGGTGCGTGGGAAGGAGTTGCTGGGGCTCACACTGCTAAACCCCCTGTCCTACAGGTGTTGAACAGCTGGAGAGAACCCCATCCCCACGGCTGGTGAAGACCCATCTCCCAGTCCAGCTCCTCCCAACCTCCTTCCGGGACAAGGGCTGCAAGGTAACGCTGCAGGACGCTCGGGACCGGGCGGTTCCGAGTCCTGTCTGGGTGGCTGGGAGTGGGCACCACTCTGCACCCCCCAACTACATCCTTGGCTGTCCCCAGGTCATCTACGTGGCCCGCAACCCCAAGGATGTTGTCATCTCCTACTACTACTTCTACCAGATGGCCAAGATGCACCCTGACCCTGGCACGCTGGGCGAGTTCATAGAGAGCTTCATGAATGGCAAAGGTGAGGGCTGAGCCCTAGGGTGCCCACCCCAAAATGCTGGTGAGGATGGTGTACCCCACCGCTCCGCTTTTTGGCTAACTCTTTGACCACATCCTGCAGTGGCCTACGGGTCCTGGTACGATCACGTGCGGGGTTGGTGGGAGAAGAAGCAGGAGAAGCAGCTCCTCTACCTCTTCTATGAGGACATGAAGAAGGTGAGGGGGCGATGGAGGGGAAGGCACTCCAGTTACCCCTCACAGCCTTTTTGGCAGCCTCTCAATGTCAGTCACCCTGCAGGACCTGCGGCGGGATGTGCAGAAGATCCTGCAGTTCCTGGGTAAGAAAGTGTCAGAGGAGACACTGGCAAAGATCATCCACCACACCTCCTTCCAGGAGATGAAGAAGAACCCTGCTGCCAACTATGAGACCATACCCACTGCCCTGATGGACCACAGCCTCTCCCCCTTCCTCCGGAAAGGTGAGATTTGGCCAGCGATGCAGGGCTTGAGAGGAGTGTCTCTGGGCTGTATTGTATCCATGGCTGCAAATATTTTGGGGATGTCGGGATTTGCCCCATTTGCTTTTTTGCTCCCAGGGATCTCGGGGGACTGGAAGAACCACTTCACTGTGGCCCAGAACGAGCGCTTTGACCAGCACTACTGTAAGCATATGGCGGGCTCTGACCTCCACTTCCAGATAGAGGTGTAAGGGCCTCATCTACCTTCTCAATGGGGGCTCTGCTTCTCCCTGCTCCCCCAGCAGGGAGGATGGGTCTGGATGGAGCATCCTTGTGCCAAATCGCTTTCTCCCCACAATAAATTGGGATAACTGGAGAGTGAGTTATTGTCTGCGAGGAAAAGCGAGAAAGCCGAACTCCCCAAATCTCAGCCATCAGCTGGGGGCACCCCTATGCTCGGGAGGGTGGGCATGTGTGGTGGATTTTTAGCTGGTTGTGGTTGGGCATCACCTCAGGTCGCCCCAGCCCCACCCTACCAAAGCTCCTGGAGGGACCAAAGGTTGGCTAAGAGTGGAAAAACCCCAAAGTGCCAGTGAACCTGCTGTCCCTGCAGCTCTTTTGTGCGCAGGAGCTTTTGTGACTCTGAGTTGTGGCAAGAGTCCACAAGAGCGGGCGGTGGTGGGGCTGGCCCCAGGCTCCCTGGCCCAGTTGGAGCTGGTCAGATGAACGTTTGCAGTTCAAAGGTGAAGGCCAACACCTCCCTGACGGTGTATTGCCACGATCACCAACATCGCTGTCCTTGCTGGATGGAGAACCCACCCTGCAGCCTCTGACTCAGCTATGCCGAGCCCTTGCTCAGGGATGGCTGGGGCAAACTAGGCCCCACCTCACTGGGGTCAAGGGTTTCATAGAATCAGAACATAATTTGAGTTGGAAGGGACCTTAAAGATCAGGTAGTTCCAACCGCCTCCATGGGTAGTGACACCTCCCACTAGATCAAGTTGCTTAAAGCCCCAAATTGTTTTTTCAGAGCCCCAAATTTAGCTCTGGAGCCTCAGATTCCCGACCAGATTCCCTGCTTCCAACCAGTTCTCAAACTTCCTTTTTAGCCAGGCAGTCTTGTGGGGTTGTTTCATCCCCAAAGAGAGAGATGCGACCTGGACCCAACACAGCAGTGCTGTGAGGGAGGCTCTCCCACAAGAGTAAATCCTTTGCGTGCATTTAGTTAAATGCCGATACAGATCTCTGCACTTCCCCAGCTCCTGGCTTTGCTGTGGGGTTTGCACACGCAGCCAGTTTGGTGGCGTATGGATAGACAGACAGGCAGAGAGGGCATGTCCCTGCCTGCAGTAAAACATCCCAGTGCGTGACACGATGTGTCCTGCCTCCCTGGGAACTTGGCCCTGAAGACAAATCAGGGATGTTTTTTCTCGAGGCTGCTCCCCTGCCCGGCTGCCACCTGTCCTGCCTTCCCTGCTCCCTCCCGGCTTGCGTTCGCCCGTGGGAAGTGGTTGAGGAGGCGCATTTCACCACCACGGACACCTTTAAACCCTTTTCCCCGAAGCACAACCCTGGCTGCAGCTGTTGCTTTGCAACCCTGCAAACTTTGAACCCCTACCCGAGTTCCCTGGGGAAGGGTGAGGGGGTGAGCAAAGCCTGCCCCCCCACGTTCGGCTAGCGAGCCCCGCGCCTATGCGAGGGAGGAGCTGGGGACATCCGCGAGTGTGACCCCTGAATGGGGACAGGGACGTGGGTTGGGATTTCCTTCCTTCAGGGGGAGAGGGAAACTGTGATTTCCGCTCCCGCCATCTAGGTGTTTACCGGGGGGTGGGGGCAGGGGGAAGGTGCTGAGCACGGCACAGCTC